TAATATAGAATGATATAAAAAGATTTTGCCCGTGAAAAACCATATGCATTTATGTGCTTAGTTTTATTCTGATTCTCATGCAAAACAATTATTCAAAGTTTAAAACAAGTTAATCTTAGCATCCACACAATCATATATTTTTAGAATCACATTAAAATTATAAACAAAAATCTAGGTTTTCTAAAAAAAAAAATTTGATATTATTTCAACTTACTTTCTAATTTTTATATAATTTATTTAACTTGTTTATTCAAAAAATAAACAGTAACACGACTTTTAAAAAATTAAAATTATTTTTAAAAGTTAAGTGCTTATAAAAAATTTTAATAAAAAATATCAAAATATAATTTTTCTGAGGATAAGTTTTGATCAATGTTCGTAGTTTGACCAGCTGAACTAATATAAAAAATCAAATAGAAGGGGAATATTTAACTTAAATATGACAGTTTAAGAACAAAGTTGACCTGATGCAAATACCTTCCCATCAGATAAACTTCAAAGAATAGTCTACCCTAAATACGCGATGAATAGATGTTGAATATATATATATATATATATATATATAGAATAGAGTACCCTAAATTAAGGACAGCTGCCTAAGTATTGATTATTGAAAGTTAATAACCAGAAATATAAAATGTACATCATACGCGACACAAAGCGATTCGTCAACGTTTTCTATTATCGGATCCTATAACCTCATTAAACTTCAAATTTAAGTAATGTTTTAATAACACAACAATTCATTTCCTGTTTGTTTTAGCCCGGTTGGAAGGTGTTTCTATAATAAAACCGATTTTTTTTAAAAAAATTAACATTTATATTTGTGGTTTTTTTAGATTACTTTAATGTGCTAATATCAAAAATAAATTTAAAAAGATAAAAAATTATTAATTTTAATGTATTTATAAATATAAAATATTTTTTAATTCAAACATACTTATTTGAAGCAAGTGATCATCAATCATATAAAAATACCTTTGATGTGTAATTGGGGTTTGAAATCAAAATTACACTAGGCTAGTAATGTTTGTAAAGGACATTAAAATCATGTTTTTAAGGAATTTAATTTTTTTTATTTAAAATTAATTTTTTATATTTTTGCATTGTTTTAATGTGTTAATATCAAAAATAATTTTTTAAAAATAAAAAATTATTTTAATATCTTTTCAAATAAAAAATATTTTAAACTATAATCATTATCATACTCTCAAATATCTTATGATCATTAGATCAACATAATACCTCCTTAAGATTATTAATGATTAAAAGAAATTATGATCCTTTTAAAAAATTTGAATTCAAATACTATGATTATCATTATAAAAAAAAAATATTATATTTTTTATTTATTTTAATCTTAATTAACAAATCAATTGATTTAAAAATATCATTTTAAGTAAAAAATAATAATTTCAATTTCCTCTGCAACCCTTTGAAAATGCTTTTTTGATGCAAGATATTCATTCCTTGCCATGAAAACTTGTCCTTGTCACAACATTAAAATTCTTAAATATAATTATACATTAAAAAAATATAAAGATTTAGAATATAACATAAAAAATTCAAGGAGGAACATAATTGATCATGTTATTCATTTCATGAATCTTGTCTTGTTCAAATCTAATTACAAGTTAATGCTTTAATAATAATAATAATAATAATAATAATAATAATAAATATCTGTTAGATGAATAATTTTTTTATATATACATTATTGATCTCAAAATTAGAATTCAAAAACAACAATTATTCAAATTCCTTCAAATTCTATTTACACCACATATATTTGTCGAGTGCCGATTTATATTTAGTAGAAAATCGAAAGTTTCAGTATAATTACTTATCAGATATATTAGATTTAAAAACTATTTAGAAAAATCATATCATTCATCGTATTATTTGCAAGTTTTATTTTAGAAATTACATAACTGTAAATTTTGCTATTCTTTCACTGTAGCAGTGACAAAAATATAATTTAAATAGTTAGAAAAATATATATATTAATATTGATAATTTTTAATTTAAATATTATAAATTTAATTATTGTTATTATATCATGAAATAAATAATACATTATATAAAATATTTTTCATTGTTATATTAAACTATCTATAATTCCATCACATATGAAATCCATCCAATAAGGACTATATTCTTTTTGGTTTTTTAAGCGTGCAACAACATTAGGTAAAATATAATCAGGAATAAAATTGAAATTACGATCAAATTCTGCAAATGCTACGTCATTAAATGATCTTTATCTAATTTATATAGTGTAATTAAATAATATTAAATACTAGTTTTTTAAATAAAATATAATTAAAAAATAAAAATAATTTTTATTTTTTATTTTACTA